TTAAAATATATAAAAATTTTTTAATTGCTCTACAAACTTATCATCATTGTATTCTAGTCTCTTTCATTTTCATCGATTTTAAATCCATTTTTCATTGCATTGCATACTTTTGTATTCAATGTAAGCAATATTCAGAAAAAAAAGAAAAAAAAAGACATATATGCTGTAATTAAAATGTAAGAACGTAAGTGGTATAGCACACCGGGCAATATAATATAAAGTCTGCGTATATATTCATTTATTTCTGTTTTTGGTTGCGTAAACTTATCACACACACACACACACACACGCGCGCGCGCGCACAATTAAATTTTGCAAATTTTAAAATTATGTTTATTTTGTTCTAATATTCTGCACGAAGAATAAATTAAACAGACGATACGAGTTGTCTGATACGAATGAGAAAGAGTGTATATATATATATATATATATATACTTCAACATTCGACTTTACTATCAATCGCGACCATCAAACTGATTCAACATTAAATGAAATTACAAGTTGCTCTCAAAGTTAGTCACATGTATTTTCAAAATAATTGATACAGGAGACAGTAGACTCTCGAGGCTGTCAATTTCGAATCGAGTAAATTCGAATGTTCATAATGAAAATTCAAAAAATTGCATATCTCGTCTTAAAATATACAACAATTTATAAATAGTTTAACCAGCAACACGAATTCTTGTGATGTTCCAGTGATCGCTGTTTGTAAACAAAGCGTGTGTCATAGCCTTGGTCAAACAGCAATAAAAGTTGACGATACTCCGAACGACAATGATCAGATTTCTATGTTTTAATTTGAATCAAATAAATGACATAAGAAATTGAGCAATTATTGATTTATGGACATCTCTCGGTGATAAGAAATTCTGAAGGAGGAAAAATACAATGTTTATTGATGACTATTTGTGAAAATAAATATTGAAAAAGATTTCTTAAATAGGAAATTTTGGTAAGCTGAAATTTGAATGCATTATTATGACAATCTTATGTTATAAATTTACATTATATTTATTCATCATATTATACATATAAACACTTACTATTATATTATCGATGCCAACACAATTTTATTTATTTAAATCAAAACATTTTTATACATCACTAAAGATTAATATATATATTAATATAAAAAATTTGTTCTAATTTCTTCCAAAGAAAGAAAAAGATACTTTTAATTTTAATTTTAATTAAAATCAGATAATTTTTTTATGCTTTTAATTTTACCTTTTGTTTTCTACATATTAGATGTGGGAAAAAGTTCGTGGCATTTTTCCCGTTACATCTAATGCATTACATAAAACCTAATAATTACTTTAAGTATATTTACAAAAATAAATTATTAATAGTAATCAATTATCAATTTAACATCAGCAAGAATTAAATTTAATATTGTCTTCATGTATTTTATTTTACTTTTATTATGTGTTTCTTAATATTATACATATAATATTAACATAAATATATTTTAACATAAATATATAAATGATATTGTGTGTATGCTGTGTGTGTACAAAGTACTATTTATATATTTTATTACACTTAGTTAATAAAGTCTTTTTGCTTTTAAATTCATTTTGTTAGATTTTTTATCAGTATGGAAAATTATCAGACTATGAAAATCATTTTATCACTGCTGCAACAACATCATGGTCAATTGAAATATTTTTCATCTCAAAGAAAAGAGATTTCGTATTCTGTTGATGAAATATCAACATTTATTATGTATTTTTTAAAAAATCGATTTAGGATGCATGATATTAAGCTATTCTTTGAAGACAGTACTCACAAAACAAGCTATATCTTTTTGCCAATATTCACCATGTATTATAACTTTTTATTATTAAATACGAATTTTTCCTCGCAGTACCTTCTTAAGAAGGACTTGATATTCGAACATGTAGTACCGACATGGCCTACTCTATCACCTTATCTCTTCGTACAGGTAATTTATCAATAACATATATTACAATAAACATTATATATATATATATA